AAGCTGGAGAGGAAATGACTGATAGGTAAAGATGGTGGTGTAATATGGGAGGGTGAATGGAGTGAATATCACCCTCCACACACTGTAGATGATTAAAGGTGAGTTTATCTCCTCCTCTTGCGTACACAGCACTGGGTATTTCCTAGTGTCTCTGGGTTTGAGCAGAGGATTTAAAGAACACTCTGAGGTTAAACACGTCATTAAGGTCGGCTGCCTCTGACCTTTCATTAACTAATGGAACATCACATCAACTAAAGCGGCTCCACAAACGTAGAAGTGTTTATTTCTGACCGTCCTCAAGTCAAAAAACATCAATCCTTGTTGGGGTTTGGAGGTCAAGACACAAATCTGATCAGCAGTGAAAGACGCAGAATGGATGTCCTCCCTCGGTAAAAAGGGAACATTTCATCAGTGTTTTGTTTGGGGCTGAATACATCTATTATATTAGTGATCACGCCATCTACTGATCATTTTGACAAGTAACTGAGTAATCAAAGTTTTTAAAAAAGGTCAAAGAATAAAAAATTGTCTTAACTGTAGAGTAACAGGCCGTGCAGATACTTTCATTCCAAAGCACTTTACTGGGAAATAATGAACTACAGGCCTTCAAAAAGACTTCATTAAAAAATGTGTCTAAAAGTCTGTATCCACCTGCAGGTGAATGTAAAATATGCATTATCAGCACACAAACTGCCAACTAATCACTGCCCATTTATCGTTATGGTAAATTATAATCATTTCTTAACAGCAACTGTACATAATTAAGTAACATAGTCTTCATACATGAAATAACTTAAAGGAGAATTCCACTGATTTCTCAAATTTTCTGCATAATTCAATCATTAAGACACAAACAAAGTCATTACAGTGTCAGAATTGTCCATAGTGGTGGACATGGTAACCAGTCAAAACATTTAATGTATATATATACACATAAATGTATGCAAAATCACTCACACACACGAAATGGGCGTAGCATAACCACGGAAACGGATGTAGAGTAACCATGAAAATAAGTGAAGAGTAGCCATGGAAACCAGTGTAGTGTAACCATGGAAAAGCATGTAGCATAACCATGGAAACGAGTGCACTGTAACCATGGAAATGCGTGTAGCTTAACCACAGAAACGGGCGTAGAGTAACCGTGGAAATGATTAAAGACTAGCCATGGAAACAAATGTAGTGTAACCATCGGAAATGGTGTAGCGTAACAATGGAAACGGGTGTAGAGTAACCACAGAAATTAGTGTTATTACAGAAATGCACATAGAGTAGCCATGGAAACTGCTATAGTGTAGCCACAGAATTGGATTTAGTGTAATCATGAAAATGGATTTAGCGTAACCGTGGAAATGGGTACGGTATATCCATGGAAATGGGTGTAGCGTAACCACAGAAATGGGTGTAGTAACCATGGAAATGAGTGAAGAGTAGCCATGGAAACGAGTGTAGTGTAACCACAGGAAAGGGTGCAGAGTAACCATAGAAATGAGTAAAGAGTAGCCATAGAAACGAGTGTAGTGTAACCATCGAATATGGTGTAGCGTAAACGGGTGTAGAGTAACCATGGGAATGAGTGTAGCGTAACCATGGAAATGGCCGTAGCATTACTGAGGAAGTCGAGTAACCGTGTAACTGGGTGTAGAGCACCCAGGGAAACAGCTGTAGTCCACAGGTCCACATATCAGTGGCTCAGTGATGGATTTCTTTAATCAGCTCATGTTATAATTGAATTCCTCTTAGCTGCATTATGTCAGCTGGGCAGTAACAGTGGACCTGCATTATTTACAGATTTCACCACAGCCTCTAGCTCACGTTGAAAGCGTGAAAAAGTGCATTTTAAAAAAGTGATGGAGGGCATATCGTCCCTGTCCACAGCGGAAAGACTCACAATGAAGTCCAATAAACCATCAGAGATGAGCAGCGAGATGCCATTGAGCAATAAAACAAGACACACAGACTGAAGGTCATTTCCCCCCATCAAACACACACACGGCAGTGTGGGCTAATTTAACACACCTCACACAGCTAATCACACCGTAATGCAATAAAATCCGCTACTGCTGCTGATGTCAGCGTAAATAATCTTTTGTTTGGTGTTGTGCTCATTAGATGGACCAAGTAAATGCCTGGAAACATTTTTTTTATTTCTTCCCACCTGTTTTCAGGAAAGCCAAGCCTTTCTGTGCTAGAACTCAACTGAAAATGGCTATCGGTATCCCGTGTTCTGGGCTAGGATTGGCCAGTAGTCAAATATATAACATACCATACAGCATAAAGTATGGTGTAGTATGATGCTGATATTTCATAGTTTTCAAACTATTTGGAGGTGCAAAAATTAATACTGGATTATTAATGGAGCTGTAGATAATTCAATAATTCAGAAAGCTGTATAGCATCCAGAATGAACTTAACATCCCAAAAATATATATATATATATACACATATATATATACATACATATATATATATATATATATATATGGGGGGGGCATCTCTATTTTCTTATTATATTATATGTATTTATATTTATTATTTGCACTCTATTGTCTCTTTGCCTACGCTCTATTTTACCCAAAACATATTCCTCATATATGCAGGTGTACTTCACCTATATAAAGTAATCCAGACTCTGTGTCTGTGCAGATGCATGTCTTTCAGATAAAGACATGAATGAAAGACATGAAAATCTAAATCGAGCTGTTCTTAAAATCATATATACTTCCCTTCCACACAGACCTGGTTATGGAAGGAGATGAATGAGCTCAGACATGCTGGACTCCACCCCTACTGGACTTTGCCTTCATTCCAGTCTCAGACTGCACAGCGCAGTCCCAGCAGACACTGCAAACCAACACCAGATTAACTGCGGCTCAACACCCTACTGTCTTCAGACTCAGGACGGCAGAGTAATGATTAAACTGGAAAAGCTGATTCTGCCCCATAGAATGAAAACAGCTGACGCTGTCAGAGGTTGACAAGAGATTCTCACAGGGTCAACTTCTCACACACACAGCTGCAAATGATAAAAGATGATGCTGAAGAAAGACATCGTACAAATGATCATTCCATGGTACTATAGTTGCATCTAAACGGCTGCGGCAAAAACAATGAAACTCTTGGTAAAGAAGCCATGGAAATGGTTTAGCATAACCAATGAATATCAAGGTAGAGTAACCATGGAAATATGTGTAGTGTTACCATGGAAATGGGTGTAATGTTACCATGGGAATGGGTGTAGTGTTACCATGAAATGGGTGTAGTGTTACCACGGGAATGGGTGCAGTGTTATCATGTAAGTGGGTGTGGCGTTACCAAGGAAATGACTCAGTATACCCAAAGAAATCATGGTACAGTAACCATGGAAATAAGTATAGTGTGACCATGGAAATGGCTTAATTTGTGTAGCATTACCATGGGAATTGGTGTAGTGTTACCATAGAAATGGGTGTAGTGTTACCATGGGAATGGGTGTAATGTTACCATAGAAACGGGTGTAATGTTACCATAGAAATGGGTGTAGCGTTACCACAGGAATGGATGTAGTGTTACCATGGAAATGACTCAGCATAATGAAGGAAATCATGGTAAAGTAACCACGGAAACGAGTGTAGTGTGGCCATGGAAATGACTCAGCATAATGAAGGAAATCATGGTACAGTAACCATGGAAACGAGTGTAGTGTGACCATGGAAATGGCTTAACGTAACCAATGAAAATCATGGGAGAGTAACCGTGGAAATTTGTGTAGCATTAACATGGAAATGGGTGTAGTGTTACCATGGAAATAGATGTAGTGTTGCCACGTAAATGGCTGTAGCATTACCATGGAAATGACTCAGCATGACCAAGGAAATTGTGGTAGAGTGACCATTGACATGGCAGTAGCGTTACCATAGAAATGACTTAGCATAACCAATGAAAATCACAGTACAGAAACTATGGAAATGGGTGTAGAGTAACCATGGAAACAGCTGTAGTCCACTGGTCCATGGTACTACAGCTATGTCTCAGCATTTAGCATAGCAACCTAGTATTTATTTAAGTCTTACTAAAATAGCTACAATTATTATGCAATCATAAACAGCTCTGCTCATCAACATGTACAGCCTACAGACTGTTTGAAACCTACAGAATAATCAGAATATTAACATCACATTACAACAATTTTATACATGTATCTGCAACAAAGTTGGTTTTATCTTTCTAGATACTAGGTTCAAGTTTCAGTAAAGATTTTAAGGCTTGCTGTTGATGTAAGAATAACCATTTCTCATATCTGACACAAAGTAGTAATCAAAAAATTGTTGATTTTGTGTAAATACGTTAACACATCCTGTATCTGAAAAATAAGTTTAGTTTGGGGACTGTTTTGTCTGCTATAATAAAACAGTAATGTCTCAGACATCAGACAGTAACTTTCTGTGGGGGAGCTTTTAGAGGTGGACGTCTGGTTCCTATCACCACCACTGTGAACAGTTGTGACTCTGTAAGTTTCTCTACAAACACTTATTCTCACATCCAATCACTCTGAATGACTTTGATTACATTTTAAACACTTAAAAGACTGATTAATGCAGAAATTTTGAAAAATCAGTGGAATTTCCCTTTAAGGTCTGTTATGGTGGTATATATACCAGAAGGGAAACACCACAAACACCAAAAAAGCTATGTAGTTTCAGTAAAGTGAGCAGACAGTTGTAAACCAACACAGACAAACAACAACCAGTCAGAACAAAACAGCAGCAGAAAGCAGATAAAGCGCATTTGTGTATCTGCTGGTTTTTCTCGAAGCCTCTGCGCTGTGAAAGAGAAAGAGCAGCCTGTCTGTGAGCCTCAGTCACTGCGTGGCACAGTCAATAACCTCCACACCGCCCAGTCGGCACTGAAGTAACTTACAGTCCGGAATAATTTGCTAAAATATTAAGCAAACAGCTCTAGTTTTAGATCTTAAACTTGGCTAGAAACCAGAGTAACCAGTACTAATAGTCGTGACTTACGAAGCTGTAGCCTGACTTCTTCCTCCAGCTCTGTGTTTTTCTGGATGGACTGAAGGTGGGAGCTGCCGAGCTGAGCGGCGTTATTTTTTTATTTCTTCCCACCTGTTTTCAGGAGAGCCACGCCTTCCTGTGCTAGAACTCGACAGCGATTGGCTATCGGTATTCCGCGTTATGGGATAGGATTGGCCAATAGTTTGTATGCAGACGAAGTCTAACAATTCAGCCAATCCTAGCGCAAAATACGGATCTATTAGCCAATCGTGGCGCAGGGAGGCGGGACTTGAAGGATTACAGGTGGGAATAAAAATAACCTTCGCGTTTTCGTTCTCACTTGTTGCACAGACAGGCATCAGCAGCCTCTCTCTCTCTCTCTCTCTCTCTCTCTCCCTCCCATTTCTCTCTTTTTCTTCCTCCTACTATTTTTCACTCTTTCTTTCTCTTCCCTCTCCCCCACTATTTCTCTCTTTCTTTCCTCTACCCCAGTATTTCTCTCTCTCTCTCTCTCTCTCTCTCTCTCTCTCTCTCTGCTACTGTTTCTCTCTACCGTTCACTCTTTCTCCTTCTGTTCTTTCTTTCTCTTTCTCTCTACTCATGCTACACTATTTCTCTTTTTCTCCCTACTTTTCTATCCTTTCTTCTACTACTTTTCACTCTTACTCTTTCTATTTCTATCTCTCTCTTCCCTCTCCCCCACTATTTCTCTCTCTTTACACTCCCCCACTATTTCTCTCTCTTCCCTCTCCCCAACTATTTCTCTCTCTCTTTCGCTCTCTTCCCTCTCCCCACTATTTCTCTCTCTCTCTCTTTCTCTCTCTTCCCTCTCCCCCACTATTTCTCTCTTTTTCTCTCTCTTCCCTCTCCCCCACTATTTTTCTCTCACCCTCTTTTTTTCTTTATTTCAACTCTCCCACTTTCATTGGTTCTTTCTGCTTTTCTCTCATTCTCTTTCTTTCTCTCTCTCCCTGTCTGTCTCCTTTCTCTCTGTTTCTTATCTAACACTTCTTCTGCCTTTCTGCATCTATCTATTCTCCTTCTCTTCCACTCATTTTCTTTCTTTCTGCAACTACCTATTCCTCCTCTCTCCCCCAATCTCTCCCTATCTACAGCCGTCTCTCTCTCACTTTATCTCCCTTCTTCTCTTTCTTGTTCTATTTATCTCCCTCCTTTCCTTTCTCTCCTTCTCACTCTTTCCCTTATTTTTTTTCTGCCCTACTGCATTTATTCTTTCCCCTCTCTCTCTTTGTCTCTTTCTCTATTTCTCTCCCTAGTTCTCTCTCTCACTCTCTTTATTTTCTTTTTCTGCCTTACTGTGTCTATCTATACTTCTTCTCTCCCTTTCCTTCATTCTTTCTCTTTCTACATTTCTTTCATTCTATCTCTCTCCCCTCTTACTCCTTCTCTCTCCTGTCTCTTTCCCATCTCTCTCCTCACTCCTTCAATACCTCTTTATCTCTCTTTCCTTCTTCTCTGTCTCTCTTTCCCCATCCCCATCTCTCTCTCCCTCAGTCTCTCTCTATCCTTTTCTACCTCTTCATCTCTCCCTCTTTATCTTCTTCTCCCTCTCTCTTTCCCCATCCCAAGTCTCTCTCTCTCATTCCCTCAATTTCTCTCTCTCTCATTCCCTCAATCTCTCTCTACCCCAATCACTCTCTATCCTTCTTTTCTCTCTTCTTTCTCCCTCTCTCTTTCGCTATCCTCACCCTCTCTCTCTCTCTAAATCGCTCTCTATCCTTCTCTTTTCTCTCTTCTTTCTCCCTCTCTCTTTTGCCATCTCCACCCTCTCTCTGTCGCTCTCTATCCCTTTCTTTTATCTCTCTTCTCTCTCTCTTAATCGCTCTCTGTCCTTCTCTTTCTTTCTCCCCCTCTCTTTCCCTATCCCCACTCTCTCTCTCTCTATCCTTCTCTTTTATTTCTCTTCTCTCTCTCCCTCTCTTTCCCATCCCAAGTCTCTCTCTCTCTCTCTCTCTCATTTTCTCTCATTCTCTCTCATTCCCTCAATCTCTCTCTACCCCCCCCCAGTATGGTTAGATGTTGCCGTGACGCAGGTCCTCGTCCGTCTCCGTGTGAAATCAGACTCTCCTCCTCTCTGCACGCTCTGCTGGATGACTTTCATTGATTTCAGAGAGACTCTCAGAGGGAGGCTCTCCTGCTGCTGCAGCTGTTTTTTCTCTCTCTGACATAACAGAGTCCCCCACTAGATGGAAACTGATCTGTCTGTAGATTCACCTGCACTGAGAACAGAATCTATATGAGGCTGTAATAAGCTGAACAGGCCTCACCGACTCCAGACATAATTATATAAAGACAGCCTGATGTGTTGAGGGAGTTATTAAAGTTATTAGATTAGGGAGTTATTAGATTTTAATAATGTTCTTCTTTAAACTCTGATGCCTACAAAGCCAAAAATGGACCAGCCCCTCCCTACCTGATGGCAATGGTCAAAACTTGAACTGTACCTCGAGCCCTTCAAGCTTCAAGTACAGTTCGGCTTGGCCCGCCGTCCTTCAAGACACGTGGGAGACAAGCATCAAGGCTCTTCTCTGTCCTGGAACTCAGGTGGTGGAGCTCTGTTCCTTCTGGGTATCAACATGGGCTTTTGTTTCTTGCAGTTTCTGAGCTCAGGAGCAGCTTTTACTCTGACCTACCTGTACTAGCAATAATACATTATCTGAGTGGACAACAAAGCAAGGGGGAAATACATACATCTGATTTTGGCTGAAATACACTTTTAACATATAACATAAAACTGATGAAAGTGTCACACCAAAATAACCCGCATGTTGTCCTCTACTGAAGCACAGACTGGTGAAGCAGCCTTGTACAAAAGATTTGGAACACTTTGCCTAGTTGAACCCGCGACCCGGAAGGATAAGCGGCTTAGAAAATTTGTGTGTGAGTGTGCGTGTGTGTGTGTGTGTGTGTGTGTGTGTGCACAACTGCAAGTTTTAAAAATCAGCTAAAAAACATTTTTAATCCTACATTCTGTTTGTCTTAATAAACTGTTTTAATTTTCAATCTTATTCCTTTTTATATCATTTAATGCTGTTGTTTTTTCATTCATTTTTATTTTATTGTAAGCAGTCCGCATATTATATATTGAAGGTATTATATAAATAAGTTATTATTATGATTACTGTCCAATATGGTAGAAAAATATATGTATGCATATTTACTCATGCAGTATATGTGCAATATGTGTGATGTTTTTTTTCAAATATATGCGCTAAATAAATTTAACTGTGCCATTTTATAACATTTAAATATATGCCAATCAGTGCACATCGATTTTCAATTTAATCAGTTATTAGAAATGCAAAAACAAACACAAAACTACCCTGACTCTGAATTATTATGAAACAGTGTTGCTCAACCACATGAGACACACTGTAAGCACACAGAACATGACAAACACTCAGTTCATCCTGTTATTATATAGTGCCCCCTATAGGAGGACACATGAAACGTACCATCCATCTCAACCTGGTGCCAGAACTGACTCATTTTTGCTTGTCAGTTTATGTCTCTGATCATATTAAGCATTATTCATCATATCATATAACTTAACAGACTAAATTCTTCTCATTATCACAATAATAATCCAATAGAACATCTGATAATTCTAGAATTTCTATATAATTTAGTCACTTAGATGTAAACAAAGTCATTCAGAGTGGTTTGGTGTGAAACGCTCTGTTCTAGAGAAACTGAGTCAGAACTGTTCACAGTGGTGGTGATAGGAACCAGACGTCCACCTCTAAAAGCTCCCTCACAGAAAGTTATTACATGAACTGGTTATGAATGTGTTACCTGAAGACTGAGACACTGTTTTATAATACTTATTATATAATAATAATGTAATATTTGAGATAAGATTTTGGCCTAAAAAGTATTTCTAAGTATTAAGTATTAAGTATTTTAACTCACTTGGACTTTAGACTAAAATCCTGAGTGACTTTATACCTTAATTATGTTTATTTTATTGAAATAAATAACTGAACATTCCATTTTGTCACTAACAAAACAATCATAACACTACCAAACTTTTCTACCATGACCAAATGTTTCATTAGTGACTGTTTCGGTAGAGACAATTTTAGCTCATTTTGAGCAGAACTCAAAAACACAGCCAGTGCATGACCAGCAAACACAGCTTTGAACAGTTGTACACATATACAACCCCAATCCAATCAAATCACTCAATTCAATTCAACTTTGTTCAGTTCACTTCAACTCAGTTTAGATCAGTTCACTTCAACTCAGTTTAGATCAATTCAGTTCAGTTCAACTCAGCTCAGTTCAGTTTCATTCAATTCAGTTCAATTTGATCCAATTTGATTCAATTCAGCCGAGTTCCATTAAATTAAGTTCAATTCAACTTTATTAATTCAGTTCAATCCAATTTAGATCATTTTAGTTTAATTCAGCTCAGTTCAGTTCGGTTCAGTTCAGTTCAATTTAGTTCAGTTTGATTCGATCCAATTCAATTCAATTAGATTCTATTCAGTTGAGATCTTAATAATTCAATTTATTTCAGTTCGGTTCAATTTGATCCAATTCAATTCAATTTTTTCAGTTCAATTCAATTGTGTTCAGTTAAATTCAATTCAATCCAATCAAATCACTTAATTCAATTCAACTTGTTCAGTTCACTTCAACTCAGTTTAGATCAATTCAGTTCAATTCAATTCAACTCAGCACAGTTCAGTTCCATTCAATTCAGTTCAATTCAACTTTGTTCAGTTCAGTTCAATTCAGTTTAGATCAGTTCAGTTTAATTCATTTCAGCTCCGTTCAGTCCAATTCAATCCAGCTCAGTTCAGTTTAATTCAATTTAGTTCAGTTTAGTTTAATTCAATCCAGTCAAATCACTTCATTCAACTCAATTTTGTACAGTGCAGTTCAATTCAATTAAATTCCATTTATTTCAGCTGAGTTCAGTATAATTCAGTTTGATCCAATTCAGTTCAATTCAATCTTGTTCTGTTCGATTCAATTCAGTTCAATTCAATTCAATTAAGTTGAGTCCAGTATAATTTAATTTAGTTCATTTCAGTTCAGTTCAATTTTGATCCAATTCAATTCAATTCAATTT